GACAACACGACGGTGGACATGAGCGCGACGCTGGAGCAGTGCAGGGCGAGGTGCCTCGCCAACTGCTCGTGCGTAGCGTACGCCGCCGCCGACATCCGAGGCAGAGACGGTGGCAGTGGCTGCGTCATGTGGACGGATGGCATCGTGGACGTTCGTTACGTGGACAAAGGGCAGGATCTCTATGTGAGGCTGTCAAAGTCTGAATTTGGTAAGCACAAAACTTCTAACTTCACCAGTTACTCTAGATTTAACATTCTTTCATCTTGTCAACTAGTACGAATTAATATTCTTCTTTGTAACACATTTCTGCAGCTACAGGGAAGAGGAGGGATGTGGCAAGAATCGTGGTTCCAGTTACGGTATCTCTGCTTGCACTCACGTCTGCGGCTATGTACCTTGTTTGGATATGCAGGCACAGAGGTAGAGCCACCCCACTGATATTCCTTCAAGGCCAACGTCGAAACAATGATGTCCAGACGAACGCGATGATAGGTTCCTTAAGTGCGCCAAATGACCTTGGTGATGATGATTTTGATCTTCCATTTGTTAGCTTTGGAGATATTGTTTCTGCAACTAACAATTTTTCTGAGCACAATATGCTCGGACAAGGAGGTTTCGGGAAGGTTTATAAGGTAACCACAGTAAAATTTCTACAAAACTACAGTACTAAGAAACTTTATCATTGTTTGTTGAGTATAAGAACGACAAAATCATGCAGGGCATGCTGGACGATAACAAAGAAGTTGCAATCAAGAGGCTTGGTAAGGGTTCTAGACAAGGAGCAGAGGAATTCAGAAATGAAGTTCTTCTAATAGCCAAATTGCAGCACAGAAACCTTGTAAGACTTCTTGGTTACTGCATCCATGGAGACGAGAAGCTGCTGGTTTACGAGTATTTACCAAACAAAAGCTTGGATTCCTTCATTTTTGGTATGTTTAGACTAAATTGCATTTAGCAAGAAAACAGTGAGTAGACAAATAGTCATAGTTACCACTTACCACTGGAATTTTCTTGCTTACTCACAATACTGTACAGATGCTGCCGGTAAACATGTCGTTGATTGGCCAACAAGGTTCAAGATAATCAAAGGATTATCTAGAGGAATTCTTTATCTCCATCAAGATTCGAGGTGGACTGTAATTCATAGAGATCTAAAGTCAAGCAACATACTGTTGGATACAGATATGAGTCCTAAGATATCGGATTTTGGTATGGCACGAATCTTCAGCGGAAATGAACAAGAAGACAATACTAATCGAGTTGTTGGGACGTAGTGAGTAATTAATATGCATTGATGTTTGAAACTAATTTTTATTTTTCAATATTTATCCTAATTATTTTTAATTAGCACTAATTGTTTATTACTTAGCGCTAATTATTTTTATGCATAACAGTGGTTACATGTCTCCTGAATATGCCATGGATGGCGTCTTTTCTATCAAGTCTGATACATATAGCTTTGGTGTCATACTCTTGGAGATTATAAGTGGTTTGAGCATCACTGCAACTCGATTCACCGGCTTTCCTAACCTATTAGCTTACGTAAGTATGCTAACATTCTCGAATTTGTTAAGGTAAAAGAAAAACGCTTCTGTTATATGATATCTTATATGCGATTAATTCCATTTGGTTTAGGCATGGAGCTTATGGCAAGATGGTAAGGCAATTGATTTGGTGGACTCAGCCATTTTGGAGACTTGTTTGCCAATCGAAGCTTTACGGTGCATCCAGATAGGACTCTTGTGTGTGCAAGACAATCCATACAGTAGACCTCTTATGTCATCAGTTGTGTTCATGTTGGAGAACGAAACCACACCACTTTTAGTCCCAAAACAGCCCGTCTATTTCTCACAAAGGCATTCAGATGACCACGAAATAGGAGAAAATAGTATCAGCTCTTCTGTGAATGACATGAGTGTCACAGTGTTGGAGGGACGGTAGATGGTTAATTTGGTTATATATGAATGCTAGTATGTATGAATCACTTTTTCCTTTTATAGATGTGTATGGTTTCTTTGTTTATTTTTTGTGATAGGAGATGTGTATGTTGTTATGAGCTTGTACAGTATTTTGGTCGACAGTTACATTGCTATTGGTTTGGTGCACCTTCTTACTATGTGGTGTGGCATAAGAGCACTTTTCGTGAATGTGCCTCCGAATCTTCTTTGTCGTGTGATTTTGTTCTTTCAAAAATATTTGGGGTGTTTGACAATTGCCACAGAGATCATCAATAATCTTGGATCATGTATCATACCGAGGGTGGATTACCGCATTGGCTATCTAAAATTCTGAACGCGAGGTGAGGTCGAGTCGAAGCCAGTAAACTTTTTAATATAGGATGGGATCAGCACCAATGCGCCAGGGATAGAGCAGGTATTGGCATTTAGGGCTGTTTGGAAGCCTGGTTTTGGAGCCCAAAACTAAGCCCAATGATTTTCCAGACCTCATTGAAAAAGTCAGTTTGGATGCCCTCCAAAACTAAATAATATGCTTACATCTATATAGAGGCCTTAAAGCATCTCCAAGAGTTTTTCTAAAACTCACTCTCCAAATCATCATTCGAAGAGTCATTTAATGAATATATATTTCTATATCTTGTCTAATCTCCAACAAGTTTTCTATATGTTGTGTGAGCCATTCTCGTTTTCTATCATTGGCTAGCGAGAAATCCAGTATAGAAGATGACTATGTTTAGATAACCAAATAAAGAAGCTATTGAGGGTATTTTTTTTCCTTGAAAATCTATATTACTATTAATTAGGAAGGATATGGAGAGCCTCTTATAGTTCCTCTTACATCCCGAAGAACAAAATGGCCTCCCCAGCCCACAAGGAAAAAAAATACGGCAGAAGTCGAGAGGTCTCTGCTCTCGTCAGAGAAAATTGCATTTTTAATAGCTCAAGCAACGCGCTTCGCAAAACTAGCATCCGAAACGTTGCTTTCGTAAACATAGCAGTCAAAACAATTGCTTCTTGTTTTCTTTACCATTTTTCCTTTTTTCCCCTCCTTTCTCTTTATTTCTCCAATAATCTACCACCTGAGTAGAGTGTTCCAAGCACGTGTGATCTAGCCAGATCGATGTGTGTCCTGTCGCATGGGCATCATGGGAGAGATGATGGGCTGTAAGTGCGAAGGCCTGCCTAGTGGGCGCTAGCGGAGTAGAGGATGCTGTAGTTCCCGATGGACTGGGCCGCTCGAAAGGAGGAGGTCTTAGGCCCATCTAATCGGGTGTCCTTCAACGACTTCAGCAGTAGTTCAGCAGTGCGGACTGCGGAGGTTTGAGAGCTGAGGCGGAGGAACCGTAACCACGCAGCCGGCCGCCCTTCTTCCTTTCGTAGTAGTACGGCTCGACAGGCCCTTGACGCCTCGCTCTCGCGCCGCCGCAGTTCGGCACCCGTGTCCATGACCGCCGTCTTCGCCAGGTACTACAGTGATACTGTATACTGCTACTCGCACTCGGGGTCTCTGCTCTCGCTTCTAATTCCAGTGCCATGGGGTCCATTCGTCGATGAATATGTAGGACAGTAGCAGTAGGACATTTTCATCCCTAGTTCGAAGAATATGTAGGACTTCCGTTGTATTTGCATACTATGGTCTTCTCAGCTTACTTAATTTTACACAAAAAAAAAAAACTTGGCGTGCTACACATTCGGAGGAATTGGTGATCCGAAGCTTTTGCAGAATGTGTGAGCTCTGCCGTCAGTGGCGATTTGCTGAATAACCTGAATTTCACTTGCAGCTAACGTTGGAAATAAACATCTAAATTCCTGGTGAACCTGGCCAAGAAAAATATTTGCTAGTACCAGCTGCAAGCCATAGTGTATTTATTATTTGCTCATCTTATGCAAATAGCAAACCCCACATATGAGGTATGTGACACAATGCTGAAAACAACTCTGAACTTGCTACAGTATATTCGTCTGAACTATGGTTGTTTTCTACTCTCCAATGACCACTAAAAGAAGAACCCCGCAAGTTTACTAGCTTTATAGAAAAATATAACAGCTGATGAAGAATTCTATGAATAATCCATATGAGGCACAGCACTGAAAGATTAGGCAGCCTTCACCATTTTGCATTAGAGCAACTGAAGATTAAAGCAATGCCATGTGAAATTTGATTGCATTCTTTGTTATGACACTTCACCATATAATTCTCAAATCCCTATATATTATCTGCATTTTTTTTCCAAGCTGCAAGCTTCAATTCAGTGTGTTCAGTACAGTAAGCTCATATATATCCCTTTGGAAGACTGTACGTTCACATATATTACGACCAGCTATGCTGCTGAAATTCACTTAACCCTACAGACCTACACAGTTACTCAAAGACTTGAACATTTATATAGTAAAAGTTGGTGTGAACATCTAGCGGCCCTCTAGTGTCGTGATACACGATGTATTCAGAAAACCTTCTATGTTTCTCCTTGTTTCTTCAGTTTCACTATTCCTTGGTAAAAAAATATACAGGCTCCTTTGGTGCTGGAAGCAATGTGGTTTCATTCTCTAACAAAAACACAACTGATGACATGAGTGGCCTTGCATTTGGATTGTCTTGGACACACAAAAGTCCTACATGAATACACCTCAAAACTTCATGGAGTGGATAACTTTCAGCAACTGATGAGTCCACCAATTTCGTCTCATTTCCCTCTTCCCATAACTTCCATGTCTGGAAAAATGTAAATCTTTTTTCTGTCAAATTAATATATTTTTGTTTATGTTTATTAAAAACTAGAGTATTTCACACTACTTACATAAGCTATAAGGTTTGGGAAGTCCATTATGAGCTGAGTTGAGATTATCTTCAAACCACTTACAATCTCCAAGAGAAGAACGCCAAAGCTATATGTGTCTGATTTGACAGAAAAGGTACCACTTGTCACATATTCAGGAGACATGTAACCGCTGTTTAAGCAAATTCAACAACGGAAGAATTTGAGTTAGACTAAACTATTATAGTTGCATTATTTAGCATTGACTAGTAAATGAATTACTCACTTTGTCCCAACAACGCGGGTAGTGTTTGCTAGTTGCTGGTTTCCCCCAAAGATTCTTGCCATACCGAAATCCGATATTTTGGGACTCATTTCTGTGTCTAACAAGATGTTACTTGCTTTAAGATCTCTATGAATTATTGTTAATCTTGAATCTTGGTGGAGATATAGAAGCCCTCTGGCTATGCCTTTGATTATGTTGAACCGTGTTGGCCAATCAAGCACATGCTTTCTTGAAGCATCTGCCAACAAGTAGTATTTAACAAAACCTATTGTTAGTCATCAGCAGTATCCTTTTTGTCAAAGTAAGAACTGCATTATGCAATAGAGTCAGTGCATACCGAACAGGAAGGCATCCAGACTTTTGTTAGGCAAGTATTCATAGATCAGTAACTTCTCTTCTTCATGAATACAGCAACCAAGTAGTCTAACTAGGTTCCTGTGCTGTAGTTTGACAAGTAGAACTACCTCGTTTCTGAATTCATCAATACCCTGCCCAGAACCTTGACTAAGCCTTTTGACAGCAACTTCCTTCTCTCCTTCCAACATTCCCTGCATGATTGCATTCTTCTGAATTGGAAAATGATGAAAAGTACAATTCTTTCTTCAGTTTTAATGATTCTTTTAACGCATATTATCCTATAACTATTAATGTGAAAATTTGCCATTACCTTGTACACTTTGCCAAAGCCTCCTCTTCCAAGCATATTGCAGTCAGAGAAATTGTCAGTTGCGGCAACAATGTCATCGAAGCTAACAAATGGAAATTCTTCATTTTTGTCTCCCAAGTTCATTTGAGGTGCTCAAGTATCTTAGCATCAGTTTCTTCTGAATCTCCCTTTTTCGCCATTTCCCTGCTGGTTGGGAGTGGGACATTGATACCTTTTTCCTTAAAACTTGTACAGTAATAGCATTACATGTTGAAACAAGGCACTTATTGTTGTACCTTTGAATTTGCATAGGCAGACAAGGGCTATGCATGTGGGTAGCAGCAGGCATGCTACAACCGGGACTACAATCTATATTATATTGGTCTTGGTTTTAACTGCCAAAGTAAAACTTGTTAGAATGTGCTGAGTAATTAATTAACTAGAAGAGCTACTATATCTCTTGTTGTTTGTTTTTAGTTTCTGAAGCCATTACATTAACTGGTGATAAATGAAGGAAATAGAACCGATCGAGGTAGGGAAAACAGAGCCCATCATCACCCTATTGGGGGAGTTGCAATGGGGATCACCTGACTGGAGATGCTCTATTGCCATTCAGTTTTATTATACTTAATGCTTGTGTTCTTTAAATCACATTAATGAAAATCTATTTTGAGTGGACATTTCTCACTATGGTGTATCTTCTGCTTCATTGCTAGATGGACATCTCTGCCATCATTGGAGAAACTGATCCTCTGATCAACAAATCTGAACAGCAGATGATGAAACGGTGCGTACCAGGAGGGTTGGCATGGCGGAGGTACAGCTTCTCGCCATAGTTGATGCTTTTCCATGTGTCGACAAGCTCCCCGGTCCAAACCAAGCACCTTGACTGGTCGGCCATGGCACCGCTGCTGCTCAAGTTGGCGTAAGCATAGGCGATGCAGGAGCAGTTACTGCTGCACTCGGCCGCGCACTGCTCAAAGCTTCTGTTCCTGAGGAGCACGAACTTGTCAGGAACTCTCATCCCGGGCAAGGCCACGAAGTGGCTTCCCTTGCTGCACCGCAGAGGCTCCATTCTCCGGCATCCTTTTGAAGAGTTGAGACCGGCGGCGACGGGCTCAAAGCCCTCGAGGCACTGGCATGCCGGGGCAGCTCCGGTGAAGTCGCAGTAGCCGTTGGGGCCACACGAACCATAGAGGCCGTAGCCACCGGTGGGGCGCTCTGAGACGACCGTCCACGCCGACGAGTTGGCGTCCCAGCTGAGGAGCTTCATCGTGCCGTTGTGGTCGAGCATGATCCAGAAGTACGGCGAGCCGTCGGAGACCGTGTACTCGAGGTAGAACTCGTCGCCGGTGTTGTCGTGTTGACGATGGTCTGGTACACCATCGAGCTGGGGGAACTTGTGTACATGCCGCCGGACACCGACACGCCGTTCTACGCGCTGATGCGGGAGTACGGGTCGGCCCCGTGCCAGACCATCAGCTGGAGGTTCGAGACGGGGTCGAGGCCGAACGAGAAGTCTCCGGTGGATGGGTCGGCGGGGCCTCTCCAAGAGACCAGGCGCCCGGCGGGGCGAGCCCTGTGGATCATCTGGAACCTCATGCCTGGGAGAATGGTGTCGGTCGGGTGATCGAAGCTCTGCCATATGACCGTGCCGTTGGGCAGCTGGAGTACAAGGTTCCCCGTGTCGAGCAGCACGGCCAGGGGGGAGGCGTTGTCGGCGGCGGCAATGGCGTTCTGCGTCCTCCAGACAGTGCGGCCTTGGGAGTCCGACAGCACGAGGTCAGAGCTGTTGCTGATGGCGAGCGTCGGGGACGAAGCCGTGGTGGCTGGGCGGTCGCGGTTGGCGACCCACACGACGGTGCGATTGCGCTCAGGGATGCCGTGGAACCAGATCGCAACGTACAGGCTCGTCGTGTTGGAGCCGGCCGGGGACGGGGAGAAGAAGCCGAGCCCAAAGACGCCGCCTTTGGAGATGAGCAGGTCGCCGGGGGTCAGTGGCCTTGCGCTTGTCAACTGGTCATCGGATTTGCAGACACAAATCATCAGGAGAATCAGGAGGATGAAAATGGTAAGGCAGGTCGTGCCCATTCTGCCTTCTCTGTTCTTCGCTGACGAGTCAGGGGCGACGAAAATGGCATCAAGATATAGATCAGGTTGTGGCACGTGGACATGGCCTGGTGGAGCCATAACCGGGAGTGAACCAATAGTCTGACAAATTTGATGAAAATGCAAAACGTCAATGCCGTGTAATGGTCTAAAATATTTATCAATAGGTGGTTGACATTGCCCGGTATTTCATAGAACAGAAGTAGAACAAGGTTTTTTATTGTTAGAAGAAAAGAAAAGGAGGCTACGTGGCATGCAGGGGATAGACGGACCAAAAAATTTCCTGGGCTAATCTATCTCTATGACACAAGATGCCAAAGTATGTATTTCAGAATAAAATTGACCAAACCAAGGACCAGGATTAGTCCACATTATGACTTGGTGGATTAAGACACGAAGGAGACAAGGAGGAAGGATCTTGATTCTTGACCAAAGCAATGATGAGCAAACACTCTTGCTACGTGGCAGCACCCCCGCATGCGTTGAACTATGCTGCACGTGTAAAGAAAAACTGATGCCCACAGTCACAGTGTTTCGTCGCGCCAAGCGAAAATGAAGCCCGGCTGCCTTGGCCAGTTTGGATTGGAAGATTTAGAATAAAGCAACCCCTCTTCTGAACATCTTTGGAAACGAAATGCATGTAACAACTGAGATTGCAAAAAGTCTAGTAAAAAAACGATGGTTCAAAAAACCTAGCAGCCTTTAGTATTGTCATTGGCGCTAAAACGAATTGGAGAGATGTATACTTGCTTTGTGGATGCATAGACTTATGTCATATAAAGATACATATATGGTGAATTTTAGTATTTAATCATTTAAAAAATTGATAGGGTGCATTTGCGTCCCCTAGTACTGAGTAGTTTCGCCTCTAAGTTTTGTCGCACACTCACTCGCTCCATTGATAGAGAGTTATCTCTTGCTTCTTTTAGCAAAGTATACATGCTCTTTTTAAAACACTTTTGTATATCGAGTAGAATGTTTTAAAATTTTATATATTTTTCTAGATATTTTTCCATTTTTTCTAGAGCTAAACTTTTTTTTTCAAAAAGTTCTAAAGATGTTTTCACGACCTCTAAATATCTTATTTTGATTTGTCGTATCCTAATCTTTCTCTAGATTTTTTTTTCAATTTTTTTAAAAAAGATTAGAGACATTTTCTGTGGCCTTATCAAATATTTACTTTTTAAACTAAAAAGGATTGTTTATTTTGACAGGCGTGAATGTAATTGAAAGTGAAGGGGTGTGTATGGTGTGCCTATTGTACTTTACAACTCTTCTTCTTAATAGAATGGTACAGCTCTCCTGCGTATTTGAGAAAAAAACAAAAAAGTATAAAATCAACTTAAATTTAAACCAGGGCAAAGAGATAATTTAAATGGTTTAAAGTTCAGCGGTGAGATGTCTAATTTTAAGTTCAAGGTGAAAAATCAGACCATGGCAATAATTTTTGGAGAGGCGGAATAAACGTGGTGGGAACAGATTTGCAAGCGGGGAGTTCAGACTTCAGTGTTCAGCACATCCTGCCGAAGCCCACCAGACAAACACTGGCCGCGGCAGTGTGTCTGTCAAATGAGAACTTGAAGCCCATAAGGCCGTAATGCATGGTTGTAGGCCTTTCCACCAATAGCCAACCCATTGCCGGCGGCGCGAAAGCCGTCCAATTTCATGGTCGCGATTGTACCTCACCTCAAATTCAGACTACCATTGTCACTACCGGACATTATTTGAGAATGATAACTTAATTATATTCTAATATCTACAGTTTCACACAATAAAGAGACGCAACAAAAACCAGTATAGTTATTAAATTTTTTTGCCAAAGATAAAAGAAGTATCTTCGCAATAAAAAAAATATAAGAGAAGTATGCAAACTACTAATGTATTACAGATCTGCTACAGGAAATTATGTACACATACAAACATTGCATAACCTAACCATCTAGCGTCCCTCTAATAACACTGTCATGCTCATGTTATTCATAGAGCTACTAGTGTTTTCTCCTGTTTCCTGGGCTTTAGAATACCTTTGTGAAAAAAATACAGGCTGTTTTGGAACTGAAAGTGCTGTAGTTTCATTCTCCAACATGAACACCACTGATGACATGAGTGGCCTTCTATTTGGATTGTCTTGCACACACAAGAGTCCTATTTGGATACACCTGAAGGCTTCATTTGGTAAACAACTCTTGACAAGGGATGAGTCCACCAAATCCATTGCCTTTCCTTCATTCCATAAGCTCCATGCCTGAACCAATTGAATCAATTTCATAGAACATTAATAAGTATTTTTTGATGCATTGTAAAAATTTCAAGCATGCCACCATACTTACATAAGCTAATAGATTTGGGAAATCTGTGATGTGGGTTAAACTAATCTTCAGACCACTTATAATCTCCAAGAGTATGACACCAAAGCTATATGTATCAGACTTGACAGAAAAGGCGCCATCCATAGCATATTCAGGAGACATGTAACCACTGTTTAAGGATTGTTAGCAGTAAGTAACAAGCTTATTAAGTGCAGGCAACGAGTTATTTTAAAATCTGAGGCTCGGACTACTCACTATGTCCCAACAACTCGATTAGTATTTGCTTCATGTTGGTTTCCTCCAAAGATTCTTGCCATACCGAAATCTGATATCTTAGGACTCATATCCGCATCCAACAATATGTTGCTTGGTTTGAGATCTCTGTGAACTATCGTCAACCTTGAATCCTGGTGGAGGTAAAGAAGCCCTCTAGATATTCCTTTTATTATCTTGAACCTTGTTGGCCAATCAAGGAGCTTTTTTCTTGCAGCATCTACAATGGTATATTATAAGTAAGTAAATTCCATGGTAACGATGGCTACTCTCTCCTTTTATATAAAAAATAAAAAAGTGTCAACATACCAAAAATGAAGGAATCCAAGCTTTTGTTTGGCAAATATTCGTAAATCAGCAATTTCTCATCTCCCCGAATGCAGCAACCAAGAAGTCTGACGAGGTTTCTGTGCTGCAATTTGGCAATCAGAACTACTTCATTTCTAAATTCCTCTGCACCTTGTCCAGAACCCTGACCGAGCCTTTTGATTGCAACTTCTTTCTTCTCGCCCAGCATACCCTGCAGGATTTCACCATTAGTAAATTGAAAAAGGGAGTGACTAAAATTTCATACTACTATTGTTCACAATTTTTTTTTGTTACCTTGTAAACCTTCCCAAATCCACCTTGACCAAGCATATTGTCTTCAGAGAAGTTATCTGTTGCAGTAACAATATCTTCAAAGCTAACAAATGAAAGTTCTAGATTTTCATCACCAAGTTCATGTGACGTGGTCAAGTATCCAACCATCGCTTTCTTCTGGACATCCTTGTTTCGACGTCGGCCTAACAGAAATATCGATCAGTATGTATCCTTTGCTAGTACCTGTTAGAGTAATTCTGCAGGGATACCACATTCTGAGTAGTGAAGTGGCTCTACCTCTCAGTTTGCTTATCCAAACAAGGTACAGGGCAACAGCCACAAGTGCAAGCAGAGATGCCGTAACCGGAAGCACGATTTTTACCACATCCGTTCTCTTCCTGTTAGCTGCACAAATATGTTACTCGAAGTGAATAGATGATCTTTTTTGTGAACGCCGAATGTAACGGACGGTGAAACTTTGCTTCTTTCTCATTTGCGAGAGAAAAGTATATGCAATTGAGAACTGGGTAATTGGAACTTACCTAATTCAGACTTGGCCAACCTCAGGTAGAGATCCTGCCCCTTGTCTACGTACCGGACATCAACAATGTTATCCTTCCACATGACGCAGCCAGTGCCATCACCGCCTCCTCGGATGTCGGCGGCGGCATAGGCCACGCACGAGCAGTTGGCGAGACACCTCACCCTGCACTGCTCCAGCGTCGCGCCCATGTCCACCGTCGTGTTGTCCGTGTCGGGGAGCTTCACTCCCCGCACCACCCTGAACCCGTCCGTCGTCGTCCCGTTGCCGCACTCCAGCGGCACGTTCCTCCGACACCCGCCACCGGACTCCCTCATGGACCACTGCGAGGGGTTGACGGGGCTGAACCCCACGACGCAGCTGCAGAACAGCGTGGACGCCGTGTTCACGTTGCACAGGCCGAACGCACCGCACATGGCGTAGTCGTCGCAGACGTCCCTGGGCGCCTGCACGAAGACGTTCCACACCCGGCTGGCGGGGTCCCATGCCAGCCGCTGCAGCACGCCGACCTCGTTCAGCACGAGGCGAGAGAAGGGCGCGTCGGCCGAGGTGTTGAAGATGTACGCGATCTCGTCGGGGCGGACGACGACCTGGTTGGAGAACAGCTCCGAGTACGACACCATCTCCGGGACGCCGCTGAACCACAGCCCGTTCCAGGGGCCCGTTCGGTACTTCTTGGCGTTGCCTTTCCAGGAGACGCAGTCCGGGAGGCCCCTGGTGTCCATCACACGCCGGCAGTCCCCGGTTGACGGGTCGTTCGGCGCGCGCCACGACGTGAGCGACCACTCCGCGCCAGTCTGCGGGTCCTTGCCGAATCTCATGCCGGCGAGCAAGGTGTTCGACGGGTGGTCGAATGACTGCCAGAGCATTTTCCCGCTGCTCTGCTCGCGCACGACGAGGTTACCGGACTCAAGCAGCTGCGCCACGGCAGGAGCGGAACTCGTCGTGTTGGAGGACCACGCGGTCTGCCCAGAGCCGTCGAGAAGGCGAAGGCTCCCAGTGCTGCCGACCACCAGTACTCCTACTCCTGAGGTGTTGCTGATGGGGGTGTCACGGTTGGCCACCCAACAGACGGCATCCGGGGACGCGGTGAACCAGATGCCAAGGTACCTCTTGGCTGGCACGCCGGCCGGGGAGAAGAAGCCCAGCGTGAAGGAGCTGCCGGATGAGACCAACGTCCCGCCGTCGGTGATGTTGCCACCGTTGTTGAGCGTGTCAGGTGCAATTCCAGCGGCGGCCGAGGCTCTGAGAAAAAGCAATAGCACGGGGAAAATCATGGCGGGAAGATTGAGAAATCTGTTGGTTGGTGACTCCATGATAGATGATACTAGAATCTCCCCTTTTGTGCAATAAAGCTCCTGGTGTCACTGAACAGCGTTATATATATCGCTCACAATGCTGGTGCTTTCCATTGGTTGCATATTTAGCACGAAACTCGTACTAAAATTATTCGTGCCCCTAATTTGTTAGGCAATTTATTTTTTTTAAATGAACTGGCACTGATAGTGCCTGTATTAGCCAATTTAATAACAGCCTGCCCAAATTTACAAGGTCGCACTTAATCGTATCTCTTATTTTAATTTAATCTGATCCCCTCCCCCGCTTTATTATTGTTTGTTAATCCTCAGTTCCAAAATATAGGTAGTTTAGCTTTTTCCTTAATTGGTTCCAAAATATAGGTAGTTAATCCCCTCCGTTGCGGCCTGTTCGCTTGCTCGTAAACGATCGTAAATTTTTAGCCGGGAACAGTGTTCTTCTCTCACACCAAACCAGCCAGCAGTAAATAATCCACGATACGATACGGCCTCCCGAACAGGCTACAAGTTGACAACATGGAGTGCACGCGTCCGTACGTTGCTACATGTCCTAGCGCGCACGCCAAATAATGATGGGGATTTGACCTGTGTGCCATCACAGAAGTTAAGAGTGCGGTATAAGCCATAAATCTTTATTTTTAATAAAATACAAAAAAGACTCTGAATTTTAGGTTAACATGAGCATAAAAAGTTTGTTGAATCAAAAATTTGAAAGTCAATCTAGCTAGAATCATGACATCACGAAACCATGAGTTGCAACAAAGAAAGTAGAGGTAGAGTAACTAGTAACCATTGATAATTGTTGGGACATGAATATTTGAGCCGCGGAGGCTGGGCACTACCCTAACCGGAAAAGACTAATATTGTGAATTGCATGAGTGATAATCTACAGGGATCACAAGGGGAGCCTTCGCCCGTGCCCTTCAAACAGGCGAAGGCTCAAGGACAACGGCGGAGGCCTGAGGAAGCGTCGGTTCGGAGCATCGCGCGAGACGGAGGCGCAAGGGCGATGGCGGAGGCCCCCGACGGCGTAGGCTCAGAGCGGAGCGAAGGAGGAGGCCATCCAGGCGGAGGCGTGGGGAACCTGTGAGAGCCTCCGCCGATTGAAGAGGGAACCCAACGGCGCGAAGATCCCGAGCGGAAGATGGGCCTCCAACAAGCCTGTCGCTGAGGCCCATGAAGCAAAGGCGGTGGAAGTAGGGAAGACCCAAGTTGTTGAAAGGTCCTAATATGGTTAGAGAGGGGGTGAATAGCCTATTTAAAAACTACAAACCAACTAGAGCAATTTGATTAGTATGACAAATAGCAAAAAACAAACTTGCTCTAGCTCTACAAGGGTTGAAAGCCACCTATCCAATAATTCTAGTTGCTATGATCACTAGTCACACAATTCACTAAGTTACTACTCACTAAGAGCTCTCACACTTGCTACACTAAAGAGCTCCACTAGATGAACTTAAGCTACAAAGTAAGCTCTCAATTCTAGCGACACTAAAGAGCTTACTACAACTAGTTTGCGGGTATGTAAATGAGTAAGTAAGGTGATTATACCGCCGCGTAGAGGAGTGAACCAATCACAAAATGAATACTAATCCAATCACCGGAAGAATACCAAAAGAGGAAGAGACAACCAACCTTCTCCTGAGGTTCACGTGCTTGCCAACACGCTACGTCCCCATTGTGTCGATCAACACTTGGTGGTTCGGCGGCTAAGAGGTGTTGCACGAACCTCGTCCATATAATTGGACACCACAAGAACCTACCCACAAGTGAGGTAACTCAATGACACGAGCAATCCACTAAGGTTACCTTTCAGCGCTCGACCGGGGAAGGCACAAGTCCCCTCACAATCACCGGAGATGGCCATGAATAATCACCAACTCGTACCGATCCTCCTCCGCTGCACCAAGCCGTTTAGGTGGTGGCAACCACCAAGAGCAACAAGTGAATCCCACAGTGAAACACGAACACCAAGTGCCTCTAGATGCAATCACTCAAGCAATGCACTTGGATTCTCTTCCAATCTCACAAAGACGATGAATCAATGATGGAGATGAGTGGGAGGACTTTGGCTAAGCTGACAAGGTTGCTATGTCAATGCAAATGGCCAAACGGGTGAGCTTGAGTCGGCCATAGGGTTTAAATAGAAGCCTCCCATGAAATAGAGCAGTTAGCTCCTCAATCCCCAGCGTCTGGTCGCGCGATGCACGCCACGTGGCCCCTGCTTCAAATGCTGATCGTCCGATCTCAACGGTCATTAGTGCACTTGACTTGTGACCGGACGCGCTGCTCAAAGTGACCGGGCGCACCATCACCAGTGTCCGGTCGTTTCTAGTAAGGTTTCACTCGCGATCGGACGCGTATGGTCACGCCTGGCCGGACTCACCCAGCGTCCGGTCACTCATCGTCTACTCTGTGCGCCGCCACATCAGTACGACCGGATGCTGAACAGTATTTAGCCAGAGTCCGGTCGCCTGCGTCCAGTCAAGGGACCGAGGGCGGCCTTCACTGCGCACCACTGACCGGATGCAGGACTCCAGCGTTCGGTCACTGCAAGACCAGCGTCTGGTGCACTCTGTGAAACCCTGTCTTTTATGTACAGGACGCCGATGGCACCGTCGGACTGTTCGCACTCTACGGACGGACACTCCGCCAGTGAAGTTTCGAACCCTTACTCCCGAGTGCTAAACACAATGTGTATCACCTTTGTGCACGTGTGTTAGCATATTTTCACAAATATTTTCAAGGGTGTTAGCACCCCACTAGATCCTAAATGCATATACAATGAGTTAGAGCATCTAGTGGCACTTTGATAACCGTATTTCGATACGAGTTTCACCTCTCTTAATAGTACGGCTATCGATCCTAAATGTGATCACACTCACTAAGTGTCTTGATCACCGAAACGAAATGGCTCCTACCACTTATACCTTTGCCTTGAGCCTTTTGTTTTTCTCTTTCTTCTTTTCAAGTCCAAGTACTTGATCATCACCATGGCATTACCATCATCATGTCATGATCTTTATCTGCTTCACCACTTGGAATATGCTACCTATCTCATGATCACTTTGATAAACTAGGTTAGCATTTAGGGTTTCATCAATTCACCGAAACCAAACTAGAGCTTTTAGTTGTCCCTAGAAGAATAAACTTGTACGGGAATATTCATAGGAATATGCCTTAGCTATCAGAGGGTAGAATTGTAAAATGGTATCCCTATGAATAGCGCCCTATAAAAGGGGAACCAAACCCTATTTAAAGGAGAGAGTTGAATGCTATTTATAAAACCCTAACCACGTATGGGCCCACTTGTGTACTAATCTCCATCTCGAGCCTTCGCTCAGGCGGAGGCTCCATCTAGACTCACCTTGCTGGGATCCGCTTTCCCAACAATAACGCTTCATGTACAACAAGGGGGATCCGAGCTTTCATGTACAACTTGTTGACCTCCTAGAGCGCCACTCACTACGGGAGACGCGCTCTTTGCCGAGTGCTCAGAGCTTTGTCGAGTGTCGAAACACGGACACTCGGCAAAGAGGCAGTTTGCCGAGTGCCGCACTCGGCAAAGCCGGCACTCGGCAAAGGCCGTCTTTGCCGAGTGCCAAACACTCGGCAAACGTCCCCTTTGCCGAGTGTCAGGCATTCGGCAAAGAATAACCCTCGGCAAAATACCTCAGGCGACGCCGGTGTCCCCTCCGTCATCCTTTGCCGAGTGCTGGCCGTTAGCACTCGGCAAACGTTGTGTCTTTGCTGAGTGCTGCAAGCCTAGCACTCAGCAAAGAGGTTCCTTTGCCGAGTGCCAATTCCAACACTCGGTAAAGAATATTCAGATTTTTTTTAATGTTTCGGATTAAAAGAACCCTGAATTTCTTTGCCAAGTGCCCGCATCTTGGCACTCGGCAAAGCACCGCCCCACTTAACCCTAGCAGGTCGGCCGGCCCGCTCCCACTTTCCCACTCTATCTCCCTCTCACAGCGCCGCGCGCCTCAGCCCTGCCACGCCGCCGCAGACCACCGGCGCCCGCGCCCGGGTCTGCCCTTCCCGGCCGGTGGTGCGCTGCCCCACCGCGCGTCGCCCGACCTCCGCCGCAGCCGACCCCGTGTGCCCCGCCGTAGCCGTTCCTACCCCGGCCCCGCTCCGCCGCCGGTTGCGGACCCGCCGGTGGTGCCCTGCCCCGGCTGCCCCTCGCCCCTGAACCGCCGGAGTGGAGGAGAGGAGGAGCAGGGGAGTAGAGGAGAGAAGGGAGGTGGAGGAGAGGAGAAGGGAGAAGGAGAAGGGAGGAGAAGGAGAAGGGAGGAGGAAGGAGAAGGGAGGAGGAGGAGCCTCGGCCACCGGCCATGCCCCTCGCCGTTCGTCCCCACCCCTCGCTGGAGACGAAGGTGACCCCGATACCACGTCGTCCGACTCCACCACCACCCAAGGTATAAAGCCCCCCCCGGTTGTTGGCCTTCGTGCCTTGTATGTCATTAACGACCTTCATGCCGTATGTGGATGTGTGGGCCTTCGTGCCGTATGTGGATGTGTGGGCCTTCGTGCCGTATATATGCTGTCGGCCATCGTGCCGGCTTTTTTCTTGCAGGTTTTGGAAACCTCCCCGTACAGGGGAGGTTCTACCGAAAATTTTAACTTATAGTATTATAATTCTTCTTTTGCAGAGTAGGACCCATCGGAGGGGACCCGGAGTACGTAGGCGACCCCGATCGTCTTCGTCGGCGCTGCGGTCCTGCCTACACAGCGTCGCCTCGCCACTGTTTAGCTAGCCTGACTCCACCGCTGTAACACCCCGGTGTTATGCCTGCATTTAGGCACTGCAAATCATACATATCATGCATCATCAAGCATCCTAATCCTACATGCCTAATCATGTAAATAACAATTGAAACACTGCTTCGAAACATCTGAAACATGTTGTGAAACCTGAATGTTGCATACCTTTGTTAGAATTGTTTTGCCCTGATTTTGCTTGCTAGGTTAGTAAAACATGTTTGGCTACTATTGTA